GACAACTACAGCAACCCTATGGATTTCCTTAAAGCTATCGGAAATTTGAGTATGCTTTAGATTTGATTCTGTGATATTGTATTATATTGAATTAATTTATATAACATTTAAATAACATTGAAACTATTGTCCAATTTATCGACATCAAATGAAAATAAACTGTGGTAGTAAACTATGGCTCAGATCATATCTCAAATTGGACATGTTACGTATACAATTTAGCAAGTAACAGTTTAGATCATGTCTCTAATTGGAAATGTGTCGTATTGAAATCAGGTCACAATTTCGGACAGATGTCGATTTTTTTCTGGTACCCTGAGTCGGACAGATGTCGCTGTCGGACAGATGTCGCTGTCGGACAGGAGTCGTGTTACCACTCTCACACATTATCCACCATATAACCATGTAACCATCTAAAAAGTTTAAAGAAAATCTATCGGTCAGATCTTGAGAAAATCGAAAATATATTCTAAGTTATTCACTAAAACACTCGATTTTCGACCAATCCATGTTATGGTACAGTTTTGTCGTGTTTGAAGTCATATATCAAGTTTGGCACTTAGAAAATCGCCCAAACTTGCACGGATTATCCGTCTTATAGTCATGTAACTATCTGGAAAGTTTAATGAAAATCTATCAGTCAGATCTTGAAATATATGCCTGATTTCCGTTAGAAACCGCCAATTTGGAGATATTTTCCTGTGTTTGAAGTCATATTAATATCTCCAGTTTGGCACATAGAATTTCTCCAAAACTCTCACACATTATCCGCCATATAACCATGTAACTATCTCAAAAGTTTAAAGAAAATCTATTGGTCAGATCTTGAGAAAATTTAAAATATATTCTAAGTTATTCACTAAAACACTCGATTTTCGACCAATCCATATTATGGTACAGTTTTGTCGTGTTTGAAGTCATATATCAAGTTTGGCACATAGAAATTTGCCCAAACTTGCACGGATTATCCGTCTTATAGCCATGTAACTATCAAGAAAGTTTAATGAAAATCTATCAGTTCGATCTCGAAATATATGCCTGTGTTCCGTTAGAAACCGCCAATTTGGAGATATTTTCTTGTGTTTGAAGTCATATCTCAAGTTTGGCACATAAAAATTCTCCCAAACTCGTACACATTATCCGTCATATAGCCATGTAATTATCTGAAAAGTTTAAAGAAAATCTATCAGTCAGATCTTGAAATATATGCCTGATTTCCGTTAGAAACCGCCAATTTGGAGATATTTTCCTGTGTTTGAAGTCATATTAATATCTCCAGTTTGGCACATAGAATTTCTCCAAAACTCTCACACATTATCCGCCATATAACCATGTAACTATCTCAAAAGTTTAAAGAAAATCTATTGGTCAGATCTTGAGAAAATTTAAAATATATTCTAAGTTATTCACTAAAACACTCGATTTTCGACCAATCCATATTATGGTACAGTTTTGTCGTGTTTGAAGTCATATATCAAGTTTGGCACATAGAAATTTGCCCAAACTTGCACGGATTATCCGTCTTATAGCCATGTAACTATCAAGAAAGTTTAATGAAAATCTATCAGTTCGATCTCGAAATATATGCCTGTGTTCCGTTAGAAACCGCCAATTTGGAGATATTTTCTTGTGTTTGAAGTCATATCTCAAGTTTGGCACATAGAAATTCTCCCAAACTCGTACACATTATCCGTCATATAGCCATGTAATTATCTGAAAAGTTTAAAGAAAATCTATCAGTCAGATCTTGAAATATATGCCTGATTTCCGTTAGAAACCGCCAATTTGGAGATATTTTCCTGTGTTTGAAGTCTTATTAATATCTCCAGTTTGGCACATAGAATTTCTCCAAAACCCTCACACATTATCCGCCATATAACCATGTAACTATCTCAAAAGTTTAAAGAAAATCTATTGGTCAGATCTTGAGAAAATTTAAAATATATTCTAAGTTATTCACTAAAACACTCGATTTTCGACCAATCCATATTATATGGTACAGTTTTGTCGTGTTTGAAGTCATATATCAAGTTTGGCACATAGAATTTCTCCAAAACTCTCACATATTATCTGTCATATAACCATGTAACTATCTCAAAAGTTTAAAGAAAATCTATCGTTCCGATCTCGAAATATATGCCTGTGTTCCGTTAGAAACCGCCAATTTGGAGATATTTTCTTGTGTTTGAAGTCATATCTCAAGTTTGGCACATAGAATTTCTCCAAAACTCTCACACATTATCTGTCATATAACCATGTAACTATCTCAAAAGTTTAAAGAAAATCTATCGTTCAGATCTTGAGAAAATCGAAAATATATTCTAAGTTATTCACTAAAACACTCGATTTTCGACCAATCCATATTATGGTACAGTTTTGTCGTGTTTGAAGTCATATCTTAAGTTTGGCACATAGAAATTTGCCCAAACTCGTACACATTATCCGTCATATAGCCATGTAATTATCTGGAAAGTTTAAAGAAAATCTATCAGTCAGATTTTGAAATATATTCCTGTGTTCCGCCGAGACCGCCAATTTGGAGATATTTTCTTGTGTTTGAAGTCATATCTCAAGTTTGGCACATAGAAATTCTCCCAAACTCGTACACATTATTCGTCTTATAGCCATGTAACTATCTGGAAAGTTTAATGAAAATCTATCAGTTAGATCTCGAAATATATGCCTGTGTTCTGTTAGAAACCGCCAATTTGGAGATATTTTCTTGTGTTTGAAGTCATATCTCAAGTTTGGCACATAGAATTTCTCCAAAACTCTCACACATTATCTGTCATATAACCATGTAACTATCTCAAAAGTTTAAAGAAAATCTATCGTTCAGATCTTGAGCAAATCGAAAATATATTCTAAGTTATTCACTAAAACACTCTATTTTCGACCAATCCATATTATGGTACAGTTTTGTCGTGTTTGAAGTCATATCTTAAGTTTGGCACATAGAAATTTGCCCAAACTCGTACACATTATTCGTCATATAGCCATGTAATTATCTGGAAAGTTTAAAGAAAATCTATTAGTCAGATCTTGAAATATATTCCTGTGTTCCGCCGAGACCGCCAATTTGGAGATATTTTCTTGTGTTTGAAGTCATATCTCAAGTTTGGCACATAGAAATTCTCCCAAACTCGTACACATTATCCGTCATATAGCCATGTAATTATCTGGAAAGTTTTAAAAAAATCTATTAGTCAGATCTTGAAATATATGCCTGATTTCCGTTAGAAACCGCCAATTTGGAGATATTTTCTTGTGTTTGAAGTCATATCTCAAGTTTGGCACATAGAATTTCTCCAAAACTTTTACACATTATCCGCCATATAACCATGTAACTATTTCAAAAGTTTAAAGAAAATCTATCGGTCAGATCTTGAGAAAATTGAAAATATATTATAAGTTATTCACTAAAACACTCGATTTTCGACCAATCCATATTATGGTACAGTTTTGTCGAAATTCTGAATTTCGGTAACAAATAAGGACTTAATTTGAGTTTACTGCACGCGCGATGAATAATTTGTGTTTATAGAGATCTGCGGCGCGTTATCAGGTTAACCAATGAAATCACGGCGTTTTTGTCACGTGACAGTCGAGTGTAGAGTGATTAATTATCATCCAGCGCGATGCACTACTGGGTCGCGCGCGCATCCAATAATGCTTCTCGCAACCACGTATGCAGATCGGCGAGATGCGAAGGATTGACATCGTGAATCAACTCGCAACCTTCCGATCTTCCGTAGATCGGCAATCTTCCGATCTCGCCGATCTTCCGTAGATCGGCGAAATGCACCACTGGGCCTCGCCGAGCTAGGAAGGATTGACATCGTGAATCAAAATGTTTACCAATTACTTTTTGGAGGATTTTGCCGCTTCAACGCCAAACTATCATTTTAGCTTTGCAGAGCAACAATCTAAAAAGATTGACATTGTCAATCAACAATCAATACGTCATGATATGAGGCCGAGGTGTGATTAGGAATAAGCTTTAAAAATACACCAAACCAAATTACTTTCATACCCGCAGAGCTTTTTCACAAGAATTTTTTAATTTGGACGAGCGATTTAGCGCTCGCGACGTGACACTGTTGATATACGTTGCATGCCACTTTTCGCGCGCGAAGGCGTAACATGTATCAATGACACTGACGTTGGACGTTAATTGACGATGTCAATTCTTCGCAGCTCGGCGAGGCCCAGTTAAATAGCGCATTTCTGATTTCTCCGATCTAATATAGCGAAAATGTGTGATGTGGTTGTGAGAAGCATAATTCATAATTAAATTGAGTGCGCGTGACGCGGCCCTGCGGCCCAGTAACGCATCGTGCTACAATTTTATGACTTGCTTGATTTTGCACTAATTTGATGTGTCCCGAAAGATTTAACGGATGATACTCAATACTCGCAAAATATTTATTGTTCCAAATATTCAATATTGTTCCAAGACCGTCGGCGGGTCCAACTCTTAATTGACGATGTCAATTCATGGCAGCTCGGCGCGGCACAGTCAACAGTAACGCATCGCGCTACAAGTCCAACTCCAACTCGGCGGTTACTGGGCCGCGCTCAGCCTGTCATTCCGCCGAATCTCTATTCTATATGTTTATAAACATGATAGCCTGAGGTCCCCAGGTAAACTCGGCGGCTGTCTTGGTTGGAGGACTTCGCCGCTTCGACTATCATTCTTGCTTCGCATCGACGATCGTTGCTATGCTTCGCAGAACAAAGATCTCGATGGGTTGACATCGTCAATCAAGTGTCTCGGTAGATTATAAATCTACATCATCAATCATAGGGATTGGCGTGCCAGTCCCTTTAATTGGGCGATCAGCGATCTAGTGTGAGCGGCAATTACGACTATAATTAAGTACAAAGGTAAGATAATTATAATTGTCAGCACTTGTCCTCCAGCTACTGTACCAGGCTCCAGTCCAGTTTATTATTTATGCTACAGAATTCTTCAGTTGGAGCGAGGAAAGAACAGTAAATGACCAAAATGAAACAAATATTTATGTATTCAAAACATAAAAATTTCAATAAAAACATGAACGGGTCTTAAATGAGGGTACAATTTCAATAAATTAAGGTCATATAGGAGATCACGGGAGTTGAGTAAGTAAAAAACATAAAACGAGCATCAAAAACTACTCGCAACTGTGGTTCAGTCAAACATTTCTGATATTAATCGCAAGTTTCAAAAACTGTTCACAGTTAGTTTACATCATACCACCCATTCCTCCCATACCGCCCATACCTCCGCCGCCCATACCTCCCATTCCAGCCATGGGGTTGGGTTCATCCTTAGCGAGGTCGGTGATGACGCACTCTGCTGTCGTGAGAAGAGAAGCTACCCCAGAGGCATCGATAAGTGCTGTTCGGACAACCTAGGCGGGAGTGACATTTTAGAATTTTTGGTGCTATTAAAATTCTCAAAAATGGGTGCAGCTTTTCAGCACAACTTGTTAAATTTGATAAATTTGGCACTGTTCTTATTTAAAAAATAATTTCAATCCCAATTCGAATGATGTCCTTCATTGCGTGATCAAAGTCAAACTCATAAGAACAGCGTTATATCAAACCTTGGTAGGGTCGATAACTCCAGTTTTGACAAGATCAACAAACTCTCCGATTGCAGCGTCGTATCCTACTGAACCTGGAGTACAAATGTAAAGTGAACAGTCCAATGTCCATCAAGTGAGATGGGAACACAACTAAA